ACGTTAGACCGCCAACGCCTCGTCATCTATCATCGTAAATGATAGCAAGGTCTAAAGTAACCCAGATCACTTACTTCTCAAAAATTTTTACTCTTATTTCTACCACGCGATCTACCACGCGATATGACGTCTTTTTCCCAAACGCACTCAAATTGGGCTTCTGTTCATAGTACCCTCCGAGAAACCTTTACCCTTTCCGAACCCTTCATCTTTGCTCCCAATTCCGGGCAAGCCTTTTCCTTTCCCATCGAGAGAATTCTTGTGGTGATGGGGTTTGAACTCACACTCTCTCCTAACTAGGACCTGGCAGTCCTCATAATAATACAAACAGAATCCCTTGGTGCCCGATTCGTGTCCCCGCTTCCACGATAGAGAGCTCGAACTACTCCCCGCGACGACTCTGGCGTAGGCCTCAGAGTCCTGAATTTCACTGAGGCAAATGACGATGGCTCTGTTATATGCCACTTTCTGCTCTCTCGCGACGGAGCGCGCTCGATTAACCAGGTTTTTCCTTAGCTCTATGTCGAGTGATATAAAGGCACGGTCGTTAGTGGCATTAGCTAGCTTGCTAGCCGGCTCACGTAATTGAATCCTGCTAGTAAGGCTTCTGAGTCTACTGTGGTGGCTAACGCACATAACCAGGGTATCAACGCGCTCGATAACTCCACCACATTGCGAGGCGTTCGGGACTCTATCAGCTTCTTACTTGCCACCATTTTTCCTCCCGTTGTTTCTCGACAACCTGGAACATCTAGAACGGTTCTTTCAGTAATTTTTAATTCACGGTTAGTTGGAGGGTGCTACACCATGGCTCTAATACGCTGTTCTCCAATCCTCATTCTTTCTGGAGGCTCACCTCCTAGGCGCCCAAAAGCCATTCCATGAAATTCTGTCAGGAGCAGCAGCTGCCCCGCAGCTCATAAGCCATATTCAGGATAATGATGATGGGTTACATCCCACCTCCTATACCGGTGACTCACATTTCCATTCAGCAACGAATAGACTAGGCGAGTTCTTACGATGTGGATAACCGCCAACCAAATACGAGCGGAATATAAACCAACTCTACTAATCAACGAGATATAAACTTTTTCAAATCGCTATGCTAGATGGTAAGCGAAGTCAGACTCACGCTGCAACCCGATATTCCGAGCCAGGCAAGTCAACGTTCACTTCCAGCGAAACACACGATTTTTGCTATTAGGATACTATCCATCCTCCTTGCTATGCTATATGTCGGATGTATTATGTCCCAGTCATCCGCGCAACGTGGATCTATAGTGTAGATTCTATACACGTCGTGTGGAACACGATGTCATACAGCCCCGATTGGAGACATCCAATTTTCTTATAACACTGACATCCAGCTTCAACGAGCTTCAACCAGCTCTCGAACTATTGCATCTAACCTTGTCACTGGTAAGTTCTCAGCGTGGAATTCTCACATTACCACCCTCCGTTATCCCCATTCTCATGAAATTGAGTCAGGCGAGTCAACATCCGCGCATCAGAACATCTCAAGAAGAGGTTATACATCATATTTCGTATCACGTGCCGATGATTTAAAATCTTGTATCAGATCAACGAATGCTTGTGGAACCCATTGACAGATCAAATAGAGCTCATTTGCAATGCGACGTCACTAACCGAGGTTCAACCCACTCAAAGTAATACAAAAATACTATACTCACTATATTAGATGGTAAGTAAAGGCAGACTCACGCTGCAGCTCGATAAGTTCGAACCAGGCAAGTCCACGTTCACTATCGAGTCGAGAAGCCTAACAAGGCAAGTCAACATTCACGCGCCCGAACCTCGTATAGTATATTATATTTCGTACTACGCATACGTGATATATTTTATACCAAGTACCGATGATCACAAATCACATTACAGTTCAAAAATATTTCAGGGACTCACTGACGAGACGAAATTGACCTCCCCCGCAATGCAAAACTTAGTTATCAGTACTCACCGAGATCCAAAGATTGACATTCAACCACCACATCAGTCAGGGGTTGAGTTTCAACGATTGAAATTTAACTCACTCAAAGTAATAAAACATTCTAGAGCCGTTAGGCTAGAGCATGGTACGTGAAGTCGAACTCACACTGCAACCCGATACAACAAGCCAGGCAAGTCAACTTTCACTCCTAGCTCACCCACAATCATTGTGGGATTGTGTCATTATGGCATCCAGCCTTCCCCCAGTGGCATCCAGCCCTCTTACAATGGCATCCAGCCATCTCACGTGGGCATCCAGCCATCTCAAATTGGCCTCCAGCCTTCCCCCAGTGGCATCCAGCCCTCTTACAGTGGCATCCAGCCCTCTTACAGTGGCATCCAGCCATCTCACATTGGCATCCAGCCATCTCACATTGGCATCCAGCCATCTCACATTGGCATCCAGCCATCTCACATTGGCATCCAGCCATCTCACATTGGCATCCAGCCATCTCACATTGGCATCCAGCCATCTCACATTGGCATCCAGCCATCTCACATTGGCATCCAGCCATCTCACATTGGCATCCAGCCATCTCACATTGGCATCCAGCCATCTCACATTGGCATCCAGCCATCTCACATTGGCATCCAGCCATCTCACATTGGCATCCAGCCATCTCACATTGGCATCCAGCCATCTCACATTGGCATCCAGCCTTCCCTTAATGGCATGTAACCCCCAGCCAAACGACAATTCAAAACTTCGACCGAATTCAACGACCAAATAATCTACGATGACATCTAATGAATGTTCCCTCTCTCACAGCGAGCGCTTCAAAGGAAGAACGAATCACAACCATCCGAGAGGTCATATCACACTGAATTCGACGCATTCGAACCAGGCGAATTGACAACTACGGTAGCGCGAAACACTAAGTACGTTACACCTCCCTCTCGAGTAGAATCCTCTTCGCAATTCAACCCATAGTCCCCATTAGAATGAAATTTTCAATTGGAGACGTCGAAACGAAGCGAGAGATGCCAAACGCTACCTCCCAAGTGTACTACATTACAACCAGTGCCTGAGCTTTAGTCAGAAGCCCTATAAGCTCCTGTCCAGGGACGCCGCGTGGAGGCACTCAGGAAAGTCCCCATTAACTAAATGGTAACTGGATATTAATCGATCAAACACCCCCCAACCACATCACAAACCATTCGCTCGTTTGTTGACCTAGCCCAATAAATTGACCTTCATTGACTGCACGGTGCAGTCTGCACTATGTCCTGACGAGAATTTGAAGCGGAATGTCTGATGATCAGGTAACTATACTAACCGCACCAGTTATCTTGAAGGCGAAGTATCCTCGTGGCGAGTGATGAGTAATGCGTACCGATGTGAGTACGTACAGATGTAGGGCGAAGACGCGCGAGGCGCGAGTGGAAATACATCCCGGGGATCCGACCTGCCCGGCGCCGGATGCCGGGCGAAGCCCCGTGGCCCAGCAGCGGTGCCACCGCTGCGGTGGTCCACCGCCCAGGGCCGTGTGGGTCATACCAGAACTGATGATATCCTCCGGGCATGGATACAGCTCGACTGTGAGGAGCAGGGCAAGCAGGAGCCTCGGCTGTCATCTCTCTGAGTTGTGATCTTCTGCACGTGTCAGGGTCGTCAAATGAAGACTGCGATTTTCAAGCCTCCCAAAGGCTATGCACTGCATAGTATGCAGTGCGTACTATGCTGCATACTATGATAGAATTGCAGTATAGCTATGCAATGCATGACCATGCATAGCTTTAGCATAGCTAAAGGTATGCAGCAATGCTGCTTTCGTTAAATGCGAATGCGTCGATCCTCTGCTGAAAAGTAGGTGCTATCGGCCGTGCTCGATTAGCTTGGTGTGCCTCACTGTGGCTTCGGTACACATTATATAACCTTGATTGACAACACAACCGCACGTCTTGATATCAAAATCGAACATCTATGAAATGTCGTGAGACTGTCTAAAAATCTATTTGTATTTTGATCAGGAGGAGTCAAGGTATCTGCTCTGATCACAGCTCGCGCTGACCAGCAAGGAAAGACCTTGCGGTATCACTGTTCGCGTTGACGGGCACTCTATGGATCGACATAGAGTGTCTGGCCGATCAAAATGCGCTGCTAGCGAAGGATGTGATGGGGGTATCCAGGCGAACTGGCGGCACCATCTCCAGAGAAGGGCAATTCTACTGGCTGGCTTGCCTCTGTGGGGATGTGAGGCGCTTTTTGCAGCAGTCCTTGGTGCGCCGACTACATGAGGAGAGAGGCGGAACTATGGTGCCTGAAATCGGTACGATACCCACCAGGAAGACCATGCTCTCTTGTTGCATCACCTAGGTGTCACTCGTTGGGTAAGCGGAGTCAAGTCCTTGGATAAACTACTGCAAAACTGGAACATACTGGCACAACTCATGGACACTGCCCCAGCTGCTTTCCCCAGCTTGCTGCCCCAGGAAGCAGCTGGGACGAGTAAGCTAGCTAGGTTTTAACCACCCCGGAAGCAGTTGTATAACACAGCTTGTATTGGCATGCATGAACCGTTAGATTTTTGAGTCTCTCGTCGTCTGCGGGATCTTCGAGACCTCACATCAGATTCTTCTTCTGGAGAAGTTCTTCAGATTCACCGACAAAATAAGAGAACTTCATTTAACACTTTCTCCTCTCATACGGGACCGAGAGCAGCGACTCGCTGCCAGTCAGCTAGCGCACAAGAAGCCATTGATCTGCTGCGACCCCTAGTTAAATTGAGCGATATCGGGCTCAATGTTCGCTCCTACCAGGATCTGGTAAGAGCGAACATATCTGGTAACCAGATACATCAGCCAAGATTGTCCAAGAACGAAAGGGACCGTTCGACTTCCTTCAAGAAGTTTAAGGCACTGGATGTGCAACCAACCGACTTGGACCCGCCACCGCAAGCTAGCGCGAGTTCGAGAAGTCAACCAGAGATTATTAATGATGACTTTGACATTGACCAGCCACCACAAACTAGCACGAGTTCCATGAGACAGCCTAGGATCACCGCTGACGAATCTAATAGTATCCAAGTACTCCTGGTTTGTCTCGTGTGTCCGTAGTCTTTCTGATGTGTCTGAACTTTCCAAGCAATGTTTCAGATATCTTAACTTCTGCGTTCACTTCTTTGACGACATGTTCTGCATTATTTAAAAGATTGAATTCGGTTACCAGCCAGCTAGCATGCTGAATACTGCATGTGCTTGGAGTTACCACTGGTAATCTGAGTATTTTCAACACCTGTATATGTTGAAGATGACCACTACTACTGTAGATCTTTTCAACACTTGCATGTGTTGAAAATGACCATTACTATTGTGGTTATTTTCAACACCTGTGTTGAAAATAACTAGTAGTGCTGTGGCTACACATGTGTTGAGATCACTCATGTGTTGGAAAAAATTGTTCACCCCACTTGAAGTGAGTCACTTCAATTTGGAGTCTTCAAGTGAGACCTTCACTCGAATATCGTTCAATGACCTCCAGCAACTGTCAGTTATTAGAAGTCCTCTGGATTCCAGTCATTCGTCTGGATGTGATAATGCTACCTCGGTACACGATACTATCGAGTCGATAGGATGACTTCCCCTCCCGAACTTCCCCTGGAGAGCTCTTTCAGTGCAAGCCTCCAAGTGCCCATTCCAACTTCTGCATCCAGCCAATGACAATGTCATTGTCATTCCACCTTGTTTTGGAGTCCCTTACTGTCTCATCTG